AAAAGGTTTTTCTATTGTTGATAAATATTAGAAGAAACGAAAACAGAAAGGAATATGTATAAATTATTTATATAAAAGCAGAGTAAAATTTTCACAAGTTGACGTTTGTAGTGTTGCCAGATTATTATTATTATTATTATTATATCTCATGGCGTAATAGCGTGTGTCGTGGCGTAGTAAATAGTTTTTCTTTCTGTCTTCATCATCATCAGCCTATAAGTGGCCACTGCTCTTTGCTCTTTTTTTAAAAACGTTGCCCTACACTAGGATTTTCTCCTGTGGGTGCGCTCAAAAACATACAAGTGTGGGAGAGCCATGCTTCGGCACGAATGGGCCGGCTTGACCGGAGTGATACCACCAACGAGCAGAAAACCGACGTGAAGCAACGCTTGCGTTGTGTTTCGTCGTGTGAGTGAGGTTACCAGAGGCCCAATTACCATCCCCTTCCCCAATCTTCCCAATCCCTGAATCCCCAACGATCCTCAAACTCCTAATCCCCAAAAAGCCGGTAACGCTCTGGTGTTCCAGGTGTCCATGGGCGACGCCGATTGCTTACCATCAGGTGATCCGTCAGCTCGTTTACCGGCTTATGCCATAAAAAAAAAGTTCACATAGGTACACATGACACCCATACCCGGAATAACAATTTGTGGATCACACAAACAGTTGTTCCGTGCGGGAATCAAACCCGGGACACGTTGCGCAGCAGCCGGTTACCCAGCCACTACGCCGACCTGCTGACCAAAGGCCTCTTTCTCGCACGGAGGTTTGAACATTAATCATTCTAATTAATGCATTTAAAGCAGCCTTGACAATATATACTCAATTATTCATTTCAAAAAATATTTGATTACACCGAACATATTATTATAACCAAAATAAAATGTGTATTTTATCTTAATATACCATAACTAATGGACATTGTTTTAACACATTATTTGCGGTTATATGACGCAAATACAATGTTTATATATGTACAAGTGTCCAGAGAAAGCTAAATATTACTTTAACCAGTTGAGAGGAGATCAGCGGTTGGGAAGTTGGGGTTCCAAACTTATTGTGTCAAATTTTTCGCTAATTTATCGGTATCAAGAACTCAGGATTTACTGTTCCGATTTAAAGAATTTCTTTTGTGTTGGATAGCCTATTTGTCGAGGAAGGTTGTAGGCTATAAAATGCCACGCTACGATCATTAGGCGCCGAGCAGTAATAAGTAAAACCGCTAAAGTACCTAGTCTATAATATTAAGATGTTTATGATGTAGGGCATTAAACAAGCAGACTGGTCTCCTGATGGTAAGCACTCAGCGCCACCTGGACATGGACACAGTATCATCAGTGCATTGCAGGACTTTTGGAGTTAGAAGGATTGCTTGCTTGACTTCAATTCCCATGACCAGGAGGCCCAATCACACTTCCCACCCTTTCTCAATCCACGAGTCCCCAACAATCCTCAAATTCCTAATCCCAAAAGGCCAGTAACGCACTTGTAACGCCTTTGGTGTTCCAGGTGTCCATGGGCGACACCGATTGCTTACCATCCTGTGATCCGTCTGCTCATTAACATATCCCATAAAATAAGAGACCATAGACAGAAACTGGCAATTTTTTGTTGATCTTCGTATATCATCATCAATAGGCCGTTTCCATCCATTGTTGGGCACAGGCTTCTGTTGGATTTCAAGAAAATGTATCGCTATTTACAAGGCTCAATTCCAGACTTCGCTACTTGTCAGAGATAGAAAATCCGATTAAAAACTTTAATCAGGGGCTTCACTTGCAACCACTTAACGCTTTACTTTAGCATAAAAGACGTCATCTAATGCCCAAAACATCTAGATCTTCTATCCCCTTGCAAAATCAAAAATAATCTTGCAAAAATAAATTGGCGCACTCTTAACCATTATCTCATGGTCCCTTACCCTTTGTACCAAGTACCTTCCCAAAGGTCTTGAGTCTGGTACTAAATTATTCACTTAGTTTTATATGTGGAGGCCTTGGGCGTCAATTTCTATTTGCACACTGTGGTCGCCAATTGGTGCCACGTGACAAAATGGCTGCCGAGACGCGTTCGCTCGAGAAATCAAGGAATAGAGGCGTTGGACATTAAATCTTATTATTCATACAGATGGAGATGAGATGAATTGATTTATGTATCTGTTATTAGAAAAAAAGTCGTGTTTTATCATTTCTTTTTTATTAATGGTGCGAAAATTTTGGGGACTGTGATAAACTATGGTCGGTAGTAGCGCGACAGACGCCGCGTCGTGAGTCGCGGAATGCTGCTTATGGATATGAGCCTGTAAAATGGTTTGAAACTAGTCTATTTTGTTGACAAACAGTTACTTGATTAAGCTGAAAAGCATCATCTCTATGAATTTTTACGTACTGTAGAAAATGAATCGCTTTTAGTAGAGGAACTTATGTTTTCCATCTCTGTAAAGCTATTTTGAAGGTCATGGTAAAAATATGTAATTCGCAACGCACTTATAAAGTGCTCTGATGTTGAAAATGGGCGTCGTCCGTAATCGCTTACCGTCAGGTCATTCGTCTACTCATTTGCCCCACAATATAATAACATTATGATTAATTTTGGTGTAAAGTTACAAGCTCAGAGTAGGTTAATCAATGCTATGTATTTTGTAGTTAACCGGACTTTTTTATTATTTCCAGGAGCCGTAGTACAACGCCCCGCCCGCAGGCCGCTTGCTACCCCACGAATCGAGAGGTTCACCCATTGTCCCCTGTGCCACATGGAGCCCATCCTCGCGCAACCAACATATTTGATTGGAAACCGCTTCACGAAGAAATCCTTCTCGGGAAACTTCCCTCATCTGCAGTATTACCATTGTCGTTCTAACTCAAACATGCTATTGAAAATAGAAAACGAACTATTACAAAGTCACCGTCAACGAGAAACGACCGGTATTAAAAAATTATACAACTCGTTCTTCGTTCTATTTTAACGTGTTCGAAAGTTAACTGCCTAAAATCCATTCAATCATTTCATTCATCATTCAGTGACTCTTGTGTTGGCATGGCCAAATTGTGATGGAATATTATTCAGAAGAAAAGGACTATATTATGCATGATAGCCGGAAAGAAGATAACTATATTTGGGAATCTAGTGTGAGGTTGGCTCTTGTGGGGAGGGAAGAGGAACTCGGGATGTATTTGGAGGAGCGAGAGGGTCGGAAGAGGAAGTGGCAGGGGGAGGGAAAGATGATGCGGAGGGATGAGAGCGAGGAGAAGGAGCAGAGGAAGATTCCGCCGAAAAAAATTATGGGTAAGTCTCTGAGCATGTTTTTTGTTTGTTTCTAGGTGTGGGGAATGGGGTTGGTTATCACGGACGTGATGCAAATAACTTACCAAGCAAAATTCGAAATACACTGATAGAAGTCTAAGCATCGGCGTCGAAGAGATGTGATACTTTCGCGATTCTTCGCCGCCGATCGCCAAAAATAACCGCTCTTACCATCGACTGTGCTGCAACCAATCCTAGTTGACTAAATGTACAGGTTGCAACTTTTACAGATTTTACTCGGTGCGATTATCGTGCGAGGCAAGCTAATTTTTAAAAACCTTCGAATGCATTACTTAAACGTTTTGTTTCTTTTCAAAAATAAAGGAAAGTTTTTTTTGAGTAGTATTTTCTATCCAAAGTATTAAGACTACTTCCCCTTCATGTGGTATTACAAATTACCCGGTATACCCTCGCGGTCAAATTAAATTTCTATCAGAAGCTGGAGGGCTAGAAAAATATGTTCAGTTGTATAATGACGTTTAACATTGTATTCTTTACTCACAGACTAAACTTATAGACAAATCATACACTGAATTTTATTATTGTTGTTGCACATAAGATGAAGATGTTGAGATTAAAACGTGTGTCGCGGGCCTCATGAAAACAATCCGCGGCCTTTGTTTGGACAGCCCTAATCTAGAGGAAGGGTTACCAACCTTTTCTTGGTCGAGGACCGCTTTTTAGAACATTTGTAAGATTAGGGTGGTCCTTAAGTGGTGGCAGTGATCTAATAAGTAGGTATTGCTTTCTTTCATGTGGTCCAGACCATGATCTTCTCTTGAGTCGTAAGGCTTCTTCTCATATAGTGATTTTACAATTATTGAAATCAGTTGATATTCTTAAACTGTCAAACACCAAGCGGTCACCGGTGACCGCAACCTATTGTTCTATAATTGTGTCTACAAAACCGGTACTCGACGAGTTAATTGTCTTCTTTGACATAAGTTTGATTTGAGCTTTAATCGTCGTAATTATTGGAAACAAAAGACAAGACGTCTGTCTTGTTTTTTTAATTTTGTGTTCCATATTTCGTCTTCTAGTGACCATTAGCGGGCCAAGAACCACAGGATTGGAACCACTGATCTAGATTCAAGACAAAACAGCAATATTTTCTACCAAAGATTCCTAAAACGTCCTTAAAACTATTCATTGACTAGCCACCCATCCGTAAACCAACCTAGCCTACCTGTTGCTTAACCTATAAACGCGCTGAAATCGAAACAAAGCGTAGTGTCAAACATAGATCTACGCTGTAGTTATAATGAATGATGGACTGTTTAAATATTTTCACAGAAAATACAACGTTACTGATATAAGTTATTATATTTAACTAGAAGAAGACGTTTGTTGATATAAGCCTGCCAATCAGCGATGACTGGCCATAGATTATGTATGAGTAGATAGGACAGTTTTTGTGGTTGTATTCTGCCTACACGGTGTAAATATAGTTAGGGTTTTGTGGAGCTACATTGTGTTGATTAGTATATTACTGGTGATTTAAGTTATGCAATAAGTTCACCCTCTATTACATGGGACTCGTAACATAAATAGAGAAAAGTGAGTGTTTCATTGTACACTGGCATTAAGCGCCGTACTGTGCACCTCTGCCTACCCCTTCGGGCCTTCGGGGATAAAAGGCGTGATGTTGTGTTATTATGTGTTAAGTTATGCGTTTCAGATTCCAATCTAAATGTTGAGTAATAAAATGTAACCAACATGTCAAAAGTCTCGTGTGCAGCCTACATTATCTACTAATGAATTTTTATCTAGATATATGCCTATCTCTACGATACCTCGTCAGGTAGTTATTTTATTTTATGGCCCTTGTTTTTAATTTTGGCGTATCCTCTTTTATTAGTGTAAACAAACTCAGAACCGTATCATAGTCTACACGAGCAGTTACAGTTGATAACCTCACAGAGGCAAACACAATTTAGGCAGAATACATTAGTAATATATTAGTCTTAATCTTTGCCACAACTGATAATGTAATAATGAATTATAAAATATGACACAGAAAACAGTTCTATAAGACGCGTCGCGATCGACAAACGTGCTTGCGATTATTTTGTCGCACGATTAAAAAGTGCTGTGCCTTCAAAACCGTATCAGTGCGATTTTTCGATTGTATCGTGATTTTTTGGACTTTATTTTTTATATTCGAATGGTATTTTTGTGATTTGTATTCTTTTATCATATTTCATAATGTTTTTTTAATACTTAATTTATTTTTAAATACGTCAGTCTGTTGTCTTGGATAAGTCAAACTTGCTACCATAAGTTTACTGGACATCTACACTACATGAGCTGCTGTTTACATATGAACATTAGCTCATGACGATACCTAAGTACGTGTGTCCCCTAGACAGTCAACCTCGCTACATCCTTGTTGACTGGACATCTACACTACATGAGCTGCTGTTTACATGTGAACATTAGCTCATGACGATACCTAAGTACGTGTGTCGCCTGGACAGTCAACCTCGCTACATCCTTGTTGACTGGACATCTACACTACATGAGCTGCTGTTTACAAGTGAACATTAGCTCATGACGATACCCAAGTACTCGTGTCGCCTGGACAGTCAACCTCGCTAAATCCTTGTTGACTGGACATCTACACTACATGAGCTGCTGTTTACAAGTGAATATTAGCTCATGACGATAGCCAAATACTTGTGTCGCCTGGACAGTCAACCTCGCTACATCCTTGTTGACTGAACATCTACACTACATGAGCTGCCGTTTACAAGTGAACATTAGCTCATGACGATTCCCAAGTACTTGTGTCGCCTGGACAGTCAACCTCGCTACATCCTTGTTGACTGGACATCTACACTACATGAGCTGCTGTTTACATATGAACATTAGCTCATGACGATACCTAAGTACGTGTGTCGCCTGGACAGTCAACCTCGCTACATCCTTGTTGACTGGACATCTACACTACATGAGCTGCTGTTTACATATGAACATTAGCTCATGACGATACCTAAGTACTTGTGTCGCCTGGACAGTCAACCTCGCTACATCCTTGTTGACTGGACATCTACACTACATGAGCTGCTGTTTACATATGAACATTAGCTCATGACGATACTTTAGTGCGTGTGTCGCCTCATCAATCAACTACGCTATCATTAGGTGACAGCCAATCTTGAAATATTTGGAATTTGGTATCAAAAACGGTTCGTCTATCCGTTGTATCTCAATATGCTCGTCATGTATTCTTTGCCTGAATCGGATCTTTGAACATTCTGTATTTGTACTTAATGTATGAATACGCTATGTGATGACAGCAGCATACCTGTCATCATCCCCATTTGACTCTTGCAATTAACATTTATCAAAGACCGGGCAGCAGCGCTCTGATAAACCTGAAACTTTAAACTACAATTATGAGAACCTCTTTTCGGTTTTCTTTTCTTTTTTTAAACGTAGTCCCACTCAAGAACTTTTTCCTGTGTCGTGGGTGCGTTTACAAACATCAAGGTTACATGCCCATCACACACAGACCCGGAACAACAATTTGTGAATCACAGAAAGAGTTGCTCCTTGCGGGAATCGAACCCGATGTGTGGCAGCCGGTTGCCCAGCCACCGTGTCACCCATGTAGTCCCTCCGGACAGAGCCGCAGAGAACTGATGTAGTTACCGGGGCTCCGGCTCGAAGTGCAAGAGTAGGAACGGGGTGGTTTTTTAGTCAGTAAGAGTCTGACACTCCCTTCCGGCTTACCCAGGCGGGAGATATAATTCGATGATTTGACCCCCTTAAAAAAATAAACCCGTGTAGTCCCTCCTATGTAGTTGAGGCTCAGAGTCCAGCAGTAGACTGCGACGTGTCATGGACAGTTGATGGACTGTTTTCCATCAGATGTACTGTAAACCTATCCAGTGGCGTAAAAACATAATGAGAATATCATAAAGACAATTCCGTGCATTGCAAGATAAGAATAACATTTTTGATAACGCTTAGCTTGATATTCTGTATATCATAGTGTTACATAAGTGCCCCAAACTGCAGTTTATCATCATCATATCAGCTACAAACGAAATATTCACTGCTAATCATAGCTCCCCCCCGGTCTCCCCTCAATGACTTAGGTCTGCTGGCAGTTTATCTCCTAATAACACCGTTCTACCGTTCTTCCACTTGCGAGAATTTGAATGAGAGTACTTATAGTCCAATCTCACTCCGTCCGCAAAAGTCCGACTAGGAACAAAGCACTTAAAAATATCTGGTGTTGCGGGTATCCATGGGGTGATCTGCTCGTTACCCACACTTCCCACTCAAAACGTTAATATTAGAATTGTCTGTCCGTCCGTCTGTCAGTGAAGCGAGGCGCTCGTTCCAAGGTGTAGTTTCGTATAGAGAAGAACTAGCAAGACACTCTATCGTTACACTTAAAAAAAATAGGTTTTTTACATGTTTATCTGATTCCTTACTTATTGTATATGTGAAAACTTTTCCAGTTACAATACTAGTAAAGATGAAGCGACGAAAATAAGAAGGAAAAACAGCAACACAAACAATATGAAAATTATCTAATGCACAACTTTATCAGTGAAGATTTTTGATAACATTATCATTAGTCTAGTCATTGTTATTTATTTGACGATATTCAATATTTTTTGGTTAGTTGATAGACCCTACTGATAGGCAAATAAAAGTCCTTGAATCTCCGTATCGGACAAACCAGTGTTGAGTTTTTAAATCTCCATAATGAATGGATTCTGAAGTCCAAATTTCATCATCATCAATTTCGTATCAACCACAATATGTCAACTGCTAAGACATAGACCTCTCCACATGGTGTCAAGCTAGCACACCGCAAATTATAAGTGAAATCACCAACCCGTGAGCTAGCGTGGTGATTAATGCTCAAACCTTCTCCGTGTGTGAATAGGCATTTGGTCAGCAGTTGCCATTTATAGGCTGTTGATGATGTTGAAGCACACCGCAGAACGACCGAACTTCTGTGGGGTGGCGGATGCCATGGGCGGTGCTAACCTCTTACCATCAGGCGATTTATCTACTTGTTTTCTCTATATTTCATATCCCATAATAAAAAATGCGTTAGGCTATCTGTCAGTTAAACTGTCAAACACCAAGCGGTCACCGGTGACCGCGACTTATTGTTCTATAATTGTGTCTATAATGACGTTACTCGACGAGTTAAGCTAGGTGCACCTCCTGGTCTTTTGCCCTTACTCAGCAACATCAGAAAGTCTCTTGTCTTTCTTAGACAAGGACCCTCCAGAAGGATTTTCTATATCTCTTCTGGTGCTCCGAGTGTCCATAGGAGATTCGGTATCGCTTTAACTAATGAAACTTAGGCGGTTAAGATTACAGTAACAAACTGTGAAGAAAATCATAGTGAGGTAATGTGAACTTAACATAATATCACGGTAGTAGGCGGAGTTAATGCTTCTGTACAATGTAACACCCACTTTTCACTATCTGTTTGTGGATCCCATGTAATAGGGGGTGGGTCTATTATAATGTGAACTTATAATTTCTAATTATAAGTTTCAAATGGCCAAAGCAAGGCTTGAGCAAACGTAATGATGAATGCTCAAACCTTTTTTGTATGAGAAGAGACTATTGCCCAGCAGTAGGAATGCCTACTGATATAGGCTGTTGATTATGTATCGTTTTCCACTAGACGATCCATTGGCTCAATTGCTTTTTACCCTAAAGCCGTGAAGGTATGTTATCAATTAATACTCGCTACTCGGACCATTATTATAATAACGTCGTCATAACTAAAATCAATAATAAAAGAATAGATTAAGTACCTAATTAGTTTATCAATTAAGGACTATTATCGAAACCGGTTTTATGTTGATTCTGATTGTGTATGCATTTTATCTTTTGTAGACGTTATTTATTTTGTGTGTTGTAGAAAGAACTTGTTATTACTTACTGATATTTGTTACATAACCTGAGGCAGAGGTGTTTGAATGTAGTCACTCTTCAGTCACTCTTTACTAAGTAACTGGTTGACTACCTCTGGTTGAGTGACCTCAAGCGCGACTGCTAAGCATAAGCACGGAGTTTGGAATTATAATTGGGTAGTTTCTAGGGTATCAAAATTAAAAATGTAATTAGTTCGTCGGTTAGATAATGAAAAAATATTAGACACGTTTTTTTTCTCGTATTAAGTTGCAATACTTAGATAAAATGGCGCTAAGTTTAGGAGTGGGAGGTTGTTACGTCATAACGTGCTACAAAATGTGACACGCTGTGACCTCACACGATACTTCAAATGAATATGTCGTCGAAAGTATTTAATTTTGTGAGAATAGAAAAAATACGTGTCTAAAGTTTTAAATTAATGTACCAGACGGACATTAAAATAAAATTTACGAAACTACCCTATTCTCTAGCCTCTGCCAGCGGTTTCGCCCGCATTTCCGTTGCATACAAAGTAGCCTATGTGTTGTTCCAGACCCTAATCTACCCCTGTTCCAAATTTCATCTCGATCCCTTCAGCCGTTTTGACGTGAAAGAGCAACAAAAACACACATACATCCTCACAAACTTTCGCATTTGTAATATTCTAGTAGGATTAGTATGAGATGGGGCTGCCTACTTTTCTTTATGGTATATACCGGTAAACGAGCAGACTGATCACCTGTTCGTAAGCAATCGGCGTCGCCCATGGACACCTGGAACTCCAGAGGCGTTACAAGTGCGTTACCGGCCTTTTGGGATTAGAAATTTGAGGATTGTTGGGGATTCACGGATAGGGGAAAGAGAGTGGGGGTAATTGGGCCTCCGATAACCTCACTCACACTCGGTCTTCTTTTAAACTTTCAAAGCATTCATCTATTATATTACAATGTTATATAGAAACAAAACTTTAGTCAACGCCCCAGATTTAGACCACGCCTAATTGACATCCGATTACCCAATCACCGACTACAGATAGGCACAAACACAACAAATGGCCTTTGACCCAGCGCGTGTCTGCTTAACGCTAAAACGGGCGGTATTACGCTCTGATATCACATAACCCTAAGACCTTAGTCCGGCCATACTGGTTGTGAAGCAATTTTGCAATTTATAGGTTAGGAGATAAGGTTGATCGTGTTTTGACGTGTTGATGTCACGTGAGAAACCTATGATAGATGCATTATAGCTTATACAACCTGCAGGGTAGAAGACACCTCCCCTACTTTTGCCACTGAAGTCGTAAGACCCGACTAAGGGCTCTCGCCCACAGTGACTTTTTGTAGCGAAGGTGTCGTGCGTTCACTAAAAGCAGTGCAGTGTGTGCGTGTGCAGTGGCGATGCTGTCCCAGCATCGCGCCCGATACCTGCCGCTCGGGCAGCAGCACTCGCTATACCTGAACCTGTCAAATATCTATCTCCAAACTGCCAGCTAAATAAAGATTTTGGACAAACCCTTACACACACAAACATGTAAACCCTATGAAGAGGAGATTCATAATCCAGCTAGGACCTGTCATAGGCTGCTGATGATGAATGACTTTATCGGTTTATCTAAATTTAAGTGTGAATCGAAATCCACAGGCCATATGGTCATTATTTGGGTAGTTTCCAGGGTATCAAAATTAAAAATGTAATTAGTCCGTCAGTTAGATAATGAAAAAATATTAGACACGTATTTTTTATTTTCTCGTATTAAGTTGCAATACTTAGATAAAATGACGCTAAGTTTAGGAGTGGGAGGTTGTTACACACCCATTGTTATAAAGTTATAAATTAATGTACCAGACGAACATTAAAATTAAATTTAGGAAACTACCCTATTGCTTGGCTTCCCCATTAAAAAATTGCAGACATGGTACTTATTTATATGAAGAAAAGAGAGCAACTAAATCAAACAGCTTAGCTTCAAATATAAACAGTACTTATAAGCCAGTTCTGTTTGTATATTTGATTGTACAAATTGTCACATTTTGTCACGCGTCATACATTAACACGGGTCTAAGCAAGCTTATAGTATAAATAAAGATATATATTAAGAATATATAAAATATGATTGCTCTATAATATTTGTAGTAAACCTGTTTGTTGTCGCGGAGAACCTAACGGGTTACCGAGGCTCCGGCTCGACGTGCAGGAGTAGGAACGGGGTGGTTTTTAGTCAGTAAGAGTCTGACACTCCCTCCCGCCTCACCCAGGCGGGAGCAGTAATTCGATGATTTTCCCCCCTTCAAAAAAAATACCCTCGAATACTGAAACGCTACTCAAGTTTAGGTCGCGCTTAAGTATAGTTCCGTCACTACAAGTTTTTTGTAAAATGACAGAGATGGCACGATATTTAAGTACAACTTCAAGTTGTAACCTTTCAGTATTCGGGCGCTATTCATACAAAATCATTAGCAATAAAGGATAACACATTTGACAGACACCAGGTAGCAGCGCTCTCTGATAAACCTGAACCTTTTAAACTGCAGTCTCCAAGTCACCGACCGAGCGAGGCGAGGGCGAGGAGTTTATCGCAAATCCCTCTTATTTCAGCTGAAATTCATAACATTATATTAATCCTATATCTCTGAATCGATATCTGATGGATTGAGGTTGAATATTAATTTCTGCTGTATGTGGAAGTCTACCGGCAGAAGCAAACCGGCATAATAATATGGTGAAAAGTGGCTATACTGTATTTTTTGGGATAAGCCGCTAAAATAACCCTCGGATGATCTGATAATAAGCAATAAGCGCCACCCATGGACACCCATCGTTATCGACCTTAGAGGAATAATGAGGATAGTCAGGGATTCGGGGATTGGGGAGGGAAGTAATTAGACCTCCATTATTAACATCGGCCGGGGCTGCGGACGACCTAGCGGAGGCTGATCCGTCTCGAAGCAGGACTAGGAACGGGGTGGTGTTTAGTCAGTCTGAGAGTCTCTTAAGAGTCTGACACTCTCTCACCTCTCCCGAGGCGGGAGAAGTAATTAAATGATTTTCCCCCCTAAAAAAATGGTTATAGTTCACCGGAACTCAGGAGTTAACCACCTGGAGTCCACTTAGTTGCGCCGACCAGTTCAGACGCCCTGAATGTGCACTAATTTTATTATAGCGCTGAAAGGTGTTACTCACTCAGACGCCAATTCGATCGCCACGGTGTGGCGACTGGTTGCGCCGCTATGTTGTCCCCAAGAAATACAGTCCTAAGAAACTAATACTCTGTCACCTCGCCCAAGAAGAGAGTGGACCTTAGATGATTTCCACCAATCTTTCCCTTTGATATATTTAAGACGTGAAGCTATTACATATTGTATCATCACGCTCAATTATCGCCAGTGACGAAACAGTGTACATAACATTTAGTATGTAAATAAGCCATTCCCCTTTATTTACTCAATTTTGGTTGTCACTCGTATCTAATGTTAGAGCGGTTTTGTCGTATTTTAACCGGCTTCGTGTGAACAGTTTAAAGTTTGTATGTTCACGCCAATAGATTTGTTTCCTAATGATCTAACAAATTTTGGACCATTTTTTTATTGTATGGAATACGTAGTAAACGAGCAGATGGACGAGCACCTTATAGAAAACAATCGGCGTCGCCCATGGACACTTGGAACACCACAGGCGTTACAACTACTAAGATTAGGATACTTACTTAAGATTAGGATTAAGAATTTGAGGATTCTTAAGGATTCAGAGACTGAGGGGGGGGGGGGTCATTGGGTCTCCGATAACCTCACGTCGTTTTACGTCGGTTTCCTGTGAGGCTGTGGTATCATTCCAATCGAACTGGCCCATTCGTGCTCCCACGAATGGACCGGCTCTCCCACATTTTTCACCAATGTCTAATATTTAATGTGGAGACAGATAACTAACAGATATCGTGGGAGCCCCTAGATGCACATGCAGGCTACTTCCAAACTTCCTATCTAGAAGTAATTGCGAAAGGCTTATAGTCGTGGTGGATGTCTTGTATTGTCTAACGGGTTGCCGGGGCTCCGGCTTGAAGAGCAAGAGTAGGAACGGTGTGGTTTTTTAGTCAGTAAGAACCTGACACTCTCTCTCGCCTGACCCAAGACGGGACTTCTCATTGGAAGATTTTCTCCCTTCGAAAAAGTTGGTTGCAAGTTTGACTGGCTAGACAATTTTTACGAAGAATAATATAACAATGTTAAGTCCAGATATCACCTCATTATATTTATTCCAATCTGTCAACTTCCATAATAGACTTTATTATCTCTTCTATATTTGACAAATTGGTGTAGATTGATTAGAAGTACAAGTTTGTTTTATGTTTAGGAGATAGCCAATCAAAACGCCGAACTCGGTAACGTTCCAATCACATTATAGTAAAACAAACTCGTTCTAAGCCCTCTGCATAGCATCCGTTATGTTGCTCCTCAAGATCACATAATACCATTATAATTTTACAGATAAGCAACTTGAACTAAATATCTTTGATAAACTTAAATATCTTGTTACCGATTGCAAAATCGGATTACGTAGTGTGTATACCAGTGCGGTGTGATGTTTCCCTGTGGACGTTGAACGGTTAATTTATAGAAAAGTGAAGTGCAAATAAATACTTTTGTTCAGTAAAATGACACTAGAACACTTCAGGAGTGCGACGAAGTACCACAGAAATATTATCGTCAGCCAATCAAGTACATGGACGTTTAAATGTTCGTTTTGTAACTGGTACTTCTGACAGTGGCTTTAAACTAAAAAATACGGCTGTGATATCATATTAATATAAAAGAAATTCATTTACAACGCCCTCTATTATCCGGAAACAAAAGAACAACGCCATCTGTCAGTGTGGTTGTTAAAACTTTGAAAGTGCAACGGATATTTCGGTCGCCATCTAGCGGTTTGCTCGTGTAACGTTAGCAAACTAGTAGCGCCATCTCTTGGTGGGCACCGTCAAACTGTCGAACATGGTTGAGGACACGACGCCGCAGCAGGAGCGGGTTTCCGCGGCTGCGGTGCTGCAGTTCGCTGCAAGAGAAGCGAGAGAGGGAAGGAGATTCACCGAGTTTGGAGCTCATGCTTTCGCCAGCATCACTTACAATGCTTACGGTACTCTATTTAGCTAATTATGCCTTTCCTAAAATATGAAACAGTTTCTTATAAACGCACGATCATGGCAAACTGGGTTCGATCCCCATACCATAAGAAGCGCAAAGTCTGAAAAGACGATCTTTACCCCACATTTTATTAACGTTCATATTAGAATACCACGACATGAGAAAAATACTGGTAGAAAACACTCTAATATTTACTGCGCAGTAAAAGAGTCTAATTAATATTACACTGTACAATAGTAATACTAGAGATCTAGAGATAATACTGTAATCATTACACTAACACCCTTTATACATTCTAATCAGAAATTCAAAAATAATTTTAAACTAGACTGTAATTAAGTTTAGATCCCGTCTATCGTCAATTTTGTCTTTCTTAAAACATTAATTTTGTTATTGTAACGTGTATATGATCTTTTGGTCTCTTGATGGAAAATGATGCAATTACAATTGCTGTGTCTAAACCGGTCAAAGAAAAAAACATTGATATTTTTTGTAGTCTGTTTATTGGTTTTCTTAATATTTTTTGTGGCCTGCGTTAATGATATGATGCAATATTTAGGAAGATATAACTATACCGTATAAGATTAAAATATGATGATTTACTAATTGATTTATGGATATGGGAAACTGAACATGTAGGTCCATCATAGGCCCTATGTCCTAAGAATGAAAGGTCAGTTTTGGTCGAATTTACGATTTTAAAATGAATAATATGTATGTGTGTCGAAAAAATAATTTCATAGAATAGCTGATTGGGTTTATTTTCTATCAAAATTGATAATCTTTTTTATGGGATAAGCGGGTAAACGAGCAGACAGATCACCTGATGGTAAGCAATCGGCGTCATTCAGGGACACCCGGAACACCAGGTGTTACAAGTGCGTTACCGGCCTTTTGAGACTTAATAATTTGAGGATTGTTGGAGATTCAGCGAAGGTAGAGATTGGAGACGGGGGGGAACACAACGCAAGCGTTGTTTCACGTCGCGTTTCTGTGAGGCCATCGTGTTACTCAGTCAGTCAGCCCGTTCGTGCCGAAGTATGGCTCACCAACACTTAAAATCATGATCGCATCGAATCAAATTAAAGTTAAAATTCAACAAAGCTCACCAAATACAATCAGAAATACTCTCAAATATACATTTAAAAGATATTTCTACATAAGATACACACAAAATTCTTTAATTGCTAGCAATTAACCTAAATTTTAAACGATTTCAATGTATTTCAACAAACAAATTAGTTAGTAACAACTCTGATTATGTTTTCTGGTACTTTTAGTGCCAGTTCGGTACTTATCTGACGCTTACGTAATCGTCTCTCGGTACCAGTGCCTACAGAGATAGTGCCAATTGGAATATTCCATTATTAAAGTACCAAATGAGATATAAAATTTTATGAGCTGACAAACAAAGATGATTTCTTGCGTCTTCAATTTAAAACTGCCAATGCGATAAATTTTATGTTTGTCATTGATAGTCATAACATTGCTAATTCTGTTGCAATTCCGATTTGAATTAATTTCGGCGTAGTTTATTTATTTATTTAAACTTTATACTTTAAGTAAGGCGTAGTTAGTGCCTTGTGGATATCTTTTACTATAGAAATTTTAGTGCTAAAGAAACAACATGACCAAAATTGGTTTTGTAGATGTTTTACTTTTATTTTATTTTTGATATCAAGTGTCTTTTGTCTATATTGTCCATCTACGTAATAGGTATTCAATGCACCATGATTTCAGCAATTATAATTGAACAGAAATCGGCCTGATGATTAAAAATTAGGATGTTTTCAAATACTTGACGTAGAGTGCTCCGTTGGTCTATTTCTATACATAACTACAGCACACGAGAACCTAGGTTGAAGGGATTAATTTTGCAGAAAACATCCCTTAAATCTTACAGATTTTCACCAAGCTTTGTTTCCATAACTATAAGTAGCAAAAAGTGGATGTTACATTCACGCCAAGGCCTACTGCTTTGGGAGCATTAAAAACATTGTCTCGTTAAAGTCTTTTAGATATCAATTTAATTATTATCAGTATTAACAGATGTTGACTAGTGTCATCACGTGCTATACTAATAGCAACAGATTTTGCAACTTTGTCTATAAGAAAGTTATTTTGAAACCAGTATCCATAACAAACGGTTAAATGCAGACATTTCTATGCACACTAAAACAGATACAGGGAGTAGTTATAACTAGTTAATTACTCGGTCCGGTCAAAGTGTAACTGATTAGATAATATGAGTACTGAATTGTTTTACGTTTGTTTCAATCGTTTTATTGATAGTGGCGCTAGTGTCGTATTGGAGGTATTCAGTGTCTGTGCTATGTTGAGTTTATATCTGTATGAACATCTAGATAGAAGTCATCTGTAAGTTAATGCGTTTGTAGTTACATATGTTACATATCCATTGACAGATACGTGGTTTCCGCATGTAGTAGTGGTTAAGACTACTTTCAGTTGTTGCAAGTTCATCAAATCATCACATATACCCGAATTTCGTTAGCCAGGATCTGAATCAAAAAACTAGTAAAAGCACTAAAATAATGGAACTCGAGCGTCTCAGGGCCATGGTCCTACTGTTTTGGATCTCGCCATGAAGTTAATTCATAGTTAAGGATTAAGATATATACAGTTTTAATTTGCATCCGTTTTTAATTGAAGGCATAAAGTCTATTGACGCAAAGACTACACATCTTTTTCTCAATCCATTGAGATTGAAAGCGATTCCTACTTCACTATGTACTATTCGAGACCCAAAAAAAATTGTTACAAACCGGATAACATCTATACTATACCTATCAACGATTGAGTAAACAAGCTAGCTGACTTATCTAAGGTCAAGAAGTTAACTAACGAACCAACTTATTCTGGTACGATACATCTTGCACGTTCCATTGTTTTTATTTCTGAGGTCGATAGTGATTTAGATTTTACCTATTAATTGATAGAACTTAGAAATTTAACATAGAAAAATCCTTGTCTTATATTAGAAACGCTAGGAATCTAACAACGGGGGATAGGCTTATGATAGTTGTTCCATATTAAATACTAATAAACCTAGGTAAGAATTATCTTAGTAGATTTTCTAATCCAGTGTGATGAAAAACCAGAAAAGAAAAAACGAATAAAACTCCCTTGTTATCTATATTAAGTACAGGCTTGTTACAAACTCGATAAAAAATCTGTTTCCACACCGCAACATAGAAGAATAGGGTAGTTTCCGTAATTTTATTTTAATAACCGTTAGTAATTTAAAACATTAGACACGTATTTTTTCTTTTCTCACAAAATTAAATACTTTCGACGAGATATTTGAAATATCGTGTGACGTCACAGCGTGCCACATTTTGTAGCACGTTATGACGTAATGACCTTCCACTCCTAAACTTAGCGCCATTTTATCTAAGTATTGCAACTTAATACGAGAAGAAAAAAAAATACGTGTCTAATATTTTTTCATTATCTAACTGACGGAGTAATTAGACTTTTAATTTTGATACCCTGGAAACTACCCAATTGAAACAGATATTAAATAAATAAATAACATCTGGTCTGTTTACAACGACCTAATTTCCTGATTAAGATTAATCGCCTTGTTCTAATTAAAATTATTATAATCACGAATAAAATGTTATCATTACTAAGTGGATATACTTTGCAAGAAAAGCAAACGGGACAATCTACTTAGAAGAATTTATCACACAATGATATTTAATTAAACATACACTATGAATATCGAATACATTTTAAAAACAGGAGTGGCTCCATCTCTTATCTAGGGACTGTAATTAAAACAGTCAATACAAAGTTTACTTTAGATTGACAATACTTTTATGTACTGAATTAAAGTATACTCTACAGTTTTTACAAATTCAAATCCTATGTCTTTCACAATAAGTCATAATTTGGTTTGTCTTTTTCAGCGTCAGCCTTGAGCGACATGGGTGGCAGCGGCACCAGCTCCTCGTCATCACACATGTCACCCGGCTGGCAGGTCAACGACCTCGATCTTGATTTGCCTGGTGAACTGTCTATGAAGTAAGTAAAATTAGAATTTAAATTAATACAAAGATTTATATGCCTTTTTCTAAATAAAATGGAACCAGGTTAAGTCTTGAAGACGCAGAGGAATTCTTCCAAAATAATCAATATCTAGGGATCTTGGATCCCAAGGGCACAGCTAAACGCAGACATCAACAACAAACGTAAAAAAATTATGAACACTAAAGTGGTACCTATTATCACCGGGGGTTATAATACAGCACCATCTCTTATCAATTTCCTCAAACATTCACCAATTAGTAATTTTCCTCACCGCAGCGAGGCGCTGCTGTCGCTGCCATCGTTGGCCGTTTTCAAACAAGAGGCGCCGTCTCCGACTGGCAACGTGCTATCTCCGCCACGTCGTGGCTGGCCGCCTCGAAGACCTGATGAGAGACAGGTATTGTAGTAAAAAATAAATCTAGACTTGCATCTAGATTTGTATTTTTCCAACACTAGTTAATTCCATGTTTGTGACAATTGGGTACTTTCCTTGATGAAAATTAATTATTTCGACTGTTCAATACAATAAAATATAGAAAAATAATCACACTTTCATTAATTGTTTTTTTGACTAACTCAATTTTACTACTTTTCCAGCAAATTTTTAAGAAATAAGTTTGCTGTTAAGGACGTTAAAAAAACGTGGCGTCACAATACACAATCTCGGACAAAATTCATAGAAAACTGTCGTTTCTGGCAGTTCGAAAAAAGTATTGAATTTGAATTTGACTAGTTGGCAATTACCCAATTAAACCTTGTTAGTGTCTATGACTATAATTAGTTAAATGTTTGACAAACAGTCAATACTAAAATGACTGTTACACTCACAACTTTTATTTATTAGGTTAATTAGTCCAAACGATAAAACTTAGTGTTGGAAAATATGTATGATCACACTTTAGTTGTATTTCCTATCTTTCTGCCGATTACACTTTTAGTATGTTTACCAAATTATTCTTCTAACTACTACTTTAATGTTCTAAGTATTTATTAAGTTGAAATCTAATTTAAGCTATTTTACATCACGCTACGACCTTTAGGAATGCGAATAGACAAGGTACAAGTTAACTAACCTTTTTCAATTACTTACGAAATTAACTGACAAATACGTTTTCTCTTGTAAAGAAAATTATTATCCTATCATTTTAATTTCATTCGCAAAATGAAGATGGCGTTGATATCAAAATAATTTCAACTGTACGAAGTTTCAACTCTTGTAATAAAATCAGCCATCGATGTTCTCATTTTACCAGTTAGCTGTGGTCTTACTACTTTGTAAAGCATGATTCTTAAGGCATGTGCTTTTGTCTTCTCTCATAACCATCCACTTTATGATAATCTAAAAATAATTAAGTCAATATATCTTTCATACAACATATAAAGCAACATTTCTTACACAACAGTGTTCTCCATTCATTTGATACATCATGGTTTTCTTTTTAATTCTCAGATCAATGCGGAATATACAGACTTACAACAGGGACGAGGGACTGACAGGGAAATGAAGAATATGTGGGAGGTGCTTATAATGATTGTCTTAAAGTTCATTTTCCTTTGCTTCTTTATCTATGTTTTAAAGATGGTTGCAAGTAATATGGGGATGTAGAGGGAGATAGAAGGCTTAATGTAGTTGTCTCTTTCATTCGATTATTATGTTGCATTTTTGTCAGTCGTTTTACGTGTTTGTAAGGGTGCAGACGTATTCATTGTTGTCGTGGTGACAAAAAAGGATAAAATGATACTTAATAATACTAAAAGTAGAATATATTACGTATCTGAAAGATACTTTTACCGTACGTTTATACGTACCCCTTTAGGGAAATGTAATTTCGAACTCTTTTTCAAATAAGAAATTTTAGCTCAAGCAATTTCTAAGCACACTGGAGCTCGCTATTAAAGCTGTATGCGCAGTAGTATTATATCTCACTGCTCAAAAAGTATGTCATAAAAACATCTCCGTCTTATAAGGTATTTAATAAAATTCTCGTTTAGATCTAAATATACAAACAGCCGCTAAATCTTTATTAGGAGGTATTTCCATTTCAATCTATGTGTATTCTATCCTTACTTAATCAGCCATAAATCATCACCATGACTACATTTATACAGCGTTACAAGTAGGTTTTAATTGAAGTGAATGCACCAATTTCATTCTGCTTCTAGAATTGGGATGATGACAGGGTATGAAAATTAAAAATATAATTGGTCCGTAAGTTAGGTAATGAAAAAATATTAGACACGTATTTTTTTTTTTTAGTTTGTAAATAAAACAATACTTAGATAAAACGAATCAAAATTTAGGAGTGGGGGCTAAAACGTCATTTTTACGTATAAAATGTACATAAAAGTGACGTCACGCGACATTTTAATTCGATATATCGTCGAAAGTATTCGTTTCTGTAAGAAAATAAAAAATACGTTTCTAATGATTTAAAATAATCTACCAGACAGACATTAAAATAAAAAATTAGGCATCTACCCTATTTACATATCAGTCTCGTTCAAAGAAATCATTAACTTTTTTGTTGCACATATTTATCTAAATGTTTATTTTATAAAAGTATAAATATTATGGTTCAAAGTCAAAACTCCTTAATTGGTTGTTTTCGTACAGTCAATGAAATTGTTTCGCGAAATCCATATACATTTGGTTAAAGGTTAATTATTGTTCCGATATTGAATTGTAAGGTGATAACGCGAACGATTTTTCAATGTATTGAGTACTATTTGATTCAAAACTTTTGCAAATGGATATTCTTAAACCGAGTTTCTTTTGGAAACTAATTGCAAAAGACTGAGGAGTTACTTGCTTGTTCTTCTCCTTAGAAATCTCCATAGGGGTTGGAATGAGTAAAATAAATAAAAGCCAGATTGCTCATCAGATGTGTTTCATCATCAGCCACATCATCGCTTACCACTAGGCGACGGTACCACTCACCACGGTGTCCAAATGCCATCATATTAACAAAAAAAAAGAAAACTGAATTAAAGGATCGATCGACAACAGACTTTTTGCTCGATAAGCTTAATCAATTATCTGAATTTGGTCTCCGGTTTGTAATGTCGTAGCGTGATATAAGACAGCTAGATAGCCAACGGTCGGGTAAAGGTTTATTTATGTTTTAGATTTGCGTTATTACTCAAGCACGGCGAGTTCCTAAAGCTAAACTATATAGGTACTACTAGGTGATTCAAACTTAAATTCTTCCTCTAATCAGTTTTAAATTAACAGTAATACAACGAAATGTCTTTTCTTCTTCAAAAGCCATAATTTCTTGCTTCTCCCCCTACAGATCACAAGTATGGTCGTGGACAACAACCGCGACGCCATGGAGGAGGGCAGCTGTCAGCAGTCCCCCACTCACAACGGGAACATGATGGTGCAGCACGGTAGGTGGCGACATCTCTTATTGTGTACACTAAACTTTCGTTAGTAAATCGTTCGGGTACTTGCCGGTAGATGGAGTTGGTGGTGTTATAGTTTTATTAGACGTGTCATTTGAAGTGACGCGACGTTTGAAATAAATAAATGATAAAACATGTGTAAATAAAAAAGGAAATGATGAATTAAATACCTTATGGAAGGCAAATGTTCCACTAAAAGTAATCGCATTTTGGTTAGAAATTTAAAGATTAATTAATTATTTTATTAGATGAATATTTTGTCTGGCTTTTGTCTGATTAATAAGATGGTCCTTGAACAACATAACATAACATCACGCCTTTTATCCCCGAAGGGGTAGGCAGAGGTGTACATTATGCCACTGGACAATGTAACACCCACTTTTCAGTATTTATGTTATGAGTCCCATGTAATAGGGGGTGAGCCTATTGCCATATACCGGGCACAATTCCAGACTCCGTGCTACTACTGAGAATTTTAAAAACCCAGTAATACTTTGCCCGACCCGGGAATTGAACCCGAGACCCCTTGCCCGGCAGTCGCACTTGCGACCACTCGGCCAACGAGGCAGTCCTTGAACAATTATGGCGTTTAAACTATATTTTTTTATCTTTCTCCTCCCACAGGCAGTCCAGAAAGCATGCAATGCCAGCCAACGATAGCAGCCGGCACTCTGATGCCTATGAACGGATACCATTCACCAAACGCACAGGAAAATAAGAGTAAGTCAGATTTTGGAAATTTTGTAGTATGTAGGCAAAAGAGCACATGGATCACCTCAGTAAGTGTGGGAGAACCATGCTTCGACACTGCTGGGCCGGCTCGACCGGAGTGATACCACCAACGAGCAGAAAATCATACTGACACACACGGCGTTGTGTTTCGTCGTGTGAGTGAGGTTACTGGAGACCCAATTACCCCCTCCCCCCTCCATTATCCAATCCCTGAATCCCCAACAATCCTCAAATTCCTAATCCCCAAAGGCCGGTAAAACACTTTTTTAAATGGGAAAAGCCCGCCACAACTTCCAATACCACGTGTCTATTGGCGACGCCGATCAGGTGAACTGTCTACTCGTTTACCATGTCCCATTAAAAAAAGCATGGTCCTTGAATGGATGTAAAACATTCATACAGATAAATAAAATTGGAATGTCTTTTTGTAATACATATTAAAATAACTGCTTTTTATGTTGTATAAAAAGCTGTTATTTTTATGCAATTTGTAATGCATGTGAATTATACATACTATAATAACATTTTTTACAATGTTTCACTGTCTGTCTGTTTGTTCTGGCTAATCTCTGGTATGGCTGGCTGGACAGATAGGCTATTATATAGGATATTAAGGAGTCACATAGGCTACTTTTATTTGGAAAATTGAATCAAATGTATTAGTTACTTATAAGTTCTAAAATTCATAACCTACGACGAAGTCGAGGGCAAAAACTATTAATCAATATTAATGAACAAAGTACATTGTCAACAGATGCAGGTCTATTAATGTGCTCGCCCGTGGGGTCCCTGGACGGGTTCCTGCACTCCCCCATACAGACGCGCTCCGAGCCCAGCTTCAAAGATGACACCAGGTAAATTGTACTTTATTTCAACTCTAAAAGTCCGCCATCATATATTATACAGAAGTGTAAAATAAATAAAGGGTATATTTTATAACTAGTTACTTCCGCGCGGTTTCACACGCTCTGCTCAGCTCCTATTGGTCGTAGCGTGATGTTTTATACCCTATAGCCATCCTCGATAAATGCGCTATCCAACACAAAAATAATTATTCAAATCAAACTTGTAGTTACGGAGATTAACGGGTTCAAATAAACAAACAAAAAAACAAATTTTTCCGCTTTATATAATAGTAGGTATAAGATATAAGATGTCTGATAAAGTGACCATTAGCTTGACTGACACATCACTACAGTTAGACGACAAAAATCAACTAAATGAACGTTACTAGTTTAATCTATGTTATCGGCAACACTAGCTGTCATTAACTAAAATCGCGAGCTACTCACGTGAATATACTGAGAAAAGCTCTACTAGTTTCGAACCACCCAGGGGTTCTTCCGACGGCGATGTCGCGCAGCCTACTGCAGAGTAGGCTGCGCGACATCGCCGCGACCGCGCACGCTGCTCATGAGGAAGAACCTCTCTGTGGTTCGGAACTAGTAGAGCTTTTAGTTAGTAGTAGTTAGCTTAGTATGTCTCACAATAGTCATCATCATCATAACGTCGCGCCTTTTATCCCCGAAGGGGTAGGCAGAGGTGTACATTATGTCACTATACTATGTAACATCCACTTTTCACTATTTATGTTATGAGTCCCATGTAATAGAGGGTGAGACTATTGCCATATACCGGGCACATTTCCAGACTCCATGCTACTACTGAGATTTTTTTTAAAACCTTGTAGTACTTTGCCCGACCTGGGATTCGAACCTGTTACCCTTTTCGACACTTGCGACCACTCGCGCAACGAGGCAATCTGTAGTTCTGTGAGACTAAACTACACACAACAGAACCATCGTAAAAAACATGAACTTCATACAATTACCTTCGAACTAAACCAAATATCCATTGTTCCACCAGATTCCAGTACGTGTTGGCGGCAGCGACATCTATCGCCACGAAACAGAACGAGGAGACACTCACCTACCTCAACCAGGGACAGCCATACGAGATCAAGCTGAAGAAACTCGGAGATCTCTCGCATTATAAGGGGAAGATACTCAAGGTAAGGATCATCGTCAACAGCCTATAATTGCCCACTGCTGAGCAAAGCCTCTTCTCACACGGAGAAGGTTTGAGCATTAATCACCACGCTTGCTCATTGCGGGTTGGCGATTACAAACTTATAATTTGAAATTATAAGCCCAGGTTACCTCACGATGTTTTCCTTCACCGTTTGTCAGTGGTGTCTGAATAATCTTAGAAAGTACATATAACTCGGAAAAAGTTCCATTGATACTTGCCGTCGGTAGGTTTCGAGCCCGCACCCTCATGCATGAGAAGCGGGCGTCTTAAACCTCCAGGCCACCACGACAACCGTGTGTACACCAAGATATTATGTTACAGAGTGTGATCAAGATCTGCTTCCACGAACGTCGTCTGCAGTACATGGAGAGGGAGCAGATAGCGCAGTGGCACAACGAGAGACCCGGGGAGAGGATCGTTGAGGTACGATGCCCGAATAATATAACCTCTATTTTAATGTTTCAATTCCAACTACGGTATCAGAGGGGTTGATATTGAATGAACTAAATGATATCTTATCTTATAATATACACCGTGATATTTTAATGGTTGTTTTCCCACAGTAAAATGATTTTATTTTAGTAGTACAATAGATTGAGAAAGTTGTTTTTAATTTAAATAAAAAAATAGCAGTTTTACGATAGTGATACACGAAACTTGAAAGAAACCGCGAACCAATAGTACCGCCGCGACCGGCCACCGGCCGCTGTCATTGTCGCTCGCGCTTATCAAAAGGCTGATAACTCAGTATTTACTAACAAGTGATTTCCATTTTCCCTTCATACTTTAACGGGCTTAGGACCGTCGTAAATACTTTTTAACTACACTTACTAAACACAAACATAAAACAAAATTTAATCAAGAGATATTATCTTGTTTATTACTGAATTTGGGAAAGTATTTATGGCGTATTTAAAAAATGGGAATCAACGTATTTACAATGATTTTAATCACCTATCTTATTGTTTTATTTACAAATGTACAAGTACTTACACTTCCCGGTAACGGAGCAATTGTTCAAAGTGTAAGCCACCGCGTTCCACACACAATCGTGCACGTTTTAACTGATTGGCTTTCAATTTTAATAATGTGTCTCTGTCACGTCTAATCACATCAAAAGCGTCCACTATCGCACTTTTTAACGCGTCGCGAGTTTCGTACTCTTGCCGATACACAAGGCGTTTGAGATTAGACCACAAATAAAAGTCTAGTGGAGTAAGATCCGGGCTTCGTGGTGGCCATGGCACTGGCCCGCCACGACCGATCCAACGCTGGGGAAACACCGAGTCGAGGTGCTCTCGCACGGCGCGCTGATAATGCGCAGGGCAACCATCGTGCTGGTAATACAGGCCATCCATGGGCACTGCTAACGGAATGTCATCTAGTAAGTCCGGGATAACACTACGTAGCATTTGTAGGTACGTTTCACCGGTTAAGTGTCCTGTCACAAAATGCGGACCAATTAAGCAGCCGTTTATTATACCGGCCCACACGTTTACACTAAACCGCACTTGATGCGCACATTCCCGAATAACGTGTGGGTTATTAAAAGCCCAAAAATCATAATTCGCCCTCGCGTACAATTGCACCATAGCTACGTACTCCACATTAGAAAAAACGTAATGGCGATCCATTTTGGCGGCAATAATATTGTACTGCGCTTGCGTGGTTGCGCGGACGGCGTTCGCGGTGCGACTGGTGTGAATTAAAGCGATGCGAGGCGATGCGGGCCGATGCGAGTGACAGAGAGCGCGGTGGTTGCCTTTGTTGTTTATCGTGAGGCGATCCGCTCGCGCGCGCGTGCATTGCAGTTTATGCTGTATTACTTAGTCCGAGAGATTATTTTACTATGAACATTGATTTGACGTCACATTTTAGAATCGAGTTGATGATTATTTTTTTGAGTAGATGAGGAGAAAAAAAAATTTTTTTTCAAAAAGTAACTTGCATTATTTGATAGTACTACTAAAGGGAAATCGTTCTGCTGCGGGAAAACAACCATCAATATGTCAGCGTGTATATAAATCTTGTGTCACAATGTTTGTCCTCAATGGACTCCTAAACCGCTTAACCGATTGTAATAAAATTCGCACACCATGTGCAGTTCGATCCAACTTGAGAGATAGGATAGTCTATTTTTCATTAGGGTAGAATAGGGTAGAGTAGGGTAGAGAAGGGTAGAGTAGGGTAGAGTGGGATAGAGTAGGTTAGAGTATTACGCGGTACGAAGTTCGCCGGGTCAGCTAGTACTATTATATAAAGCGGAAGAGTTTGGTTTTTTTTTTGTTTGAATGCGCTAATCTCCGTAACTACAAGTCTGATTAGAATAATTCTTTTTGTGTTGGATAGCGCATTTATCGAGGATGATTATAGGCTATAAAACATCACGCTACGACCAATAGGAGCTGAGCAGAACGTGTGAAACCGCGCGGAAGTAGCTAGTTTAATGATATTTCCATGAAAATTTGTTTTGATCTAAAAAAATACATATTGTTTTGTTTTTACTTTATACATCGAAAGTACTCCTTTATGGCGAGTAGTTTTGCCGCGGGACGAAAACGAAATTAATTTCACACTGTATTATTTGTGTTAAATTATCTATGTGCACTATAACGATCTTTTTTGGATATTTGATAGTGTTTTATAATGAAAGAAAATTTCATCACGCCTTTTTATCCCCGAAGGGATAGGTAGAGGTACCCATTGCGGCACTTAATGCCACTGTACAATGTAACACCCACTTTTACTATTTATGTTATGAGTCCCATGTAATAGGTGAGCCTATTGCCATATACCAGGCACAATTCCAGGCTCCGTGCTACTACTGAGATTTTTTTTTAAAACCCAGTAATACAATGGCAACGGGCAAAGCCCGGCCCGGTAGTCGCCCTTGCGACCGCTCGGCCAACGAGGCAGTCTTCTTATTAAATAATAATAATAATAGTTATTTTAAAACCTATTAACTCGTCGAGTACCGGTTTTGTAGACACAATTATAGAACAATAGGTTGCGGTCACCGGTGACCGCTTGGTGTTTGACAGTTTAATAAATTAATTTGTTTGTTCTGCCTAGACACCGAAAGCAACATCCTGTTCTTCGACATTGAGGGTCTGATAGTGGAACTTGGATTTTTAAAACCTAGTAAACTTTGTCCGACCCGAGACCCGTTGCCCGGCAGTCGCACTTGCGACCACTCGGCCAATGAGGCAGTCTAAAGAAAAAAAATATTATAATGAAAAGAAAACATTTGTCACAGGTGGACGTCCCCCTGTCATACGGCGTCATCCGCGTGGAGCAGCCGGCCTGTCTCAACGCGTTACATGTCTACTGGGACCCCACCAAAGATGTCGGTGTTTATATCAAGGTAATTTTTTTAAACTTTACCCCACACTAAGATTTTCTCCTGTGTCGTGGGTGCGTTTACAAACGTACAAGTACACATACGCATCACACACAGACCCGACACAGTGTTGTTGCGTGCGGGAATCGAACCCGCGACACGTTGCACGGCGGCCGGTTACCCAGCCACCTCACCAACCGTGCAGTCGAGTTTTTATAAAAAGGTAATAAAATACTCGTCGTCAAGCCGCCATCATAGTTTCAATAAAAGTTAATCAGTTAAATAGTTTTATTTTGTACGGAGCAACTATTTGTGTGATCCACAGATTGTTGTTTCGGGTCTGGGTGTCATGTGTATGTGAACTTGTATATTTATAAACTCACCCACGATACAGGAGAAAATCCTACTGTAAAAAATAAGGCAAAAGTAATATAGTGTGCCACCAGATGTCGCTACTGAAAAACGAATACATAGTATTATTTTGTTGTCAAATGAAGAGTACTATTCGTATGTAAGTAGTATGATTCGTAATGTAAGAAACTACAAAAAATAACATCGCAAAGTGCTATCTCATACAACATTTTCGTCTTTGTCGACATTTCGAGGTTTAAAATTATTGATTATTCGTTGATTAACAATTTTCAGTTTGGGAATACTATTCAGTTATTCTGCTTACCCATCCAATACCTGAAATTTGTGAACATTTATTTATCTTTTATCCTTCACACCCAGGTGAACTGCATATCAACAGAGTTTACAGCGAAGAAGCACGGCGGAGAGAAGGGCGTGCCCTTCCGTATCCAAGTGGAGACATATCTTGCTACTGACGAACATACTCGACTGCATGCTGCGGCCTGTCAGATCAAGGTAGGGTCCAAGGGTCGGAAGTTAACAGGACACTGGGTTAAATACGGCTCTGGCTACTTCTTTTTTTATAGCATAAGCCGGTAAACGTCGCCCTTAGACACTCGAAACACCAAGGCGTTACATGTGCGTTACCGGCCTTTTAGGAATTGGGAATTTGAGGATTGTGGAGGATCCGGGGATTCGGGAGACGGGGACTAGGGTAATTGAGCCTCTTCATACTTCATTCTTTTAAACTTCTGTTTGAAAGGTATCATAGCCATGGTTCACTGTACGAAAGTTCATCAAAAAATGTAGGAGAGCCATGCTTCAGCACTACTGGGTCGGTTCGACCGGAGTAATACCAACGAGCTGGACACGACACTGACACAGCGGGTATGCAGGCGGGGGAGGGACGCCAATAGAGTGCCAACTACCGCCTCTCCCCAATCCCTGAAACCCCAACAAATTTCTAATCCCCAAAAAGTCGGTAACGCACTTGTAACACCTCTGGTGTTCCAGGTGCTCATGGGCGACGCCAATTACTTACTATCAGGTGATCCGTCTGCTCGTTTATCGGATCATTCCATAAAAAAACTCGACCTAACAAAAATATTATGTTAATATAGAGAGAACCTACAGAATTTAATGAGGTTTGGTACAGTGTACCATGACTGTGATAGCTTCCAAATAGAAGTAGTCATAGCTATGGTGGACGTGCGTGCGTCGCCCATTCATATTTGCCCACTATCCTTTATAGTCTGAATCAGTCTGTCAATAATTAAATAGATACAGTCAATGTCAAAATAGTTAGAAAGGACTTCAACCAAAATGGGCTAAGTTTTGTGTGTTTTAATAAGTGTTGAACAACTGTATTGGAAAAAAAGGAATCTATACATAATTTAGTAATAATATTTAGTAAACATAGTCTCTATTCGGGAGTGTCAAAGTAAATAATAATAAAAACGATTAAAACAGATTTTAAGTTGAATATTCTGATTGTTGCTGCGCTCATATCATGTCTGTGGTATGGTATTTAAGCTGGGCAAGGTATGAAAATGTGACTCCACCGGCTCAGTTTTTAGACCATGTTTTATTAACATATGAAAATGAAGAGTTTTACAAATAAAAAAAATATTTTTAAAATATTAAAGTTTTTTTTGTTTTGTATTATATTAATCAATTTGATACAAAACTTCTAATCTATACGTTTTCTTTGTATTGTAAGCCACCCAATAAAATCTAAAATAGTGCATTTTTTTATGTTCATGTTCTAGCCCAAACTTCATACAAAGTGGTTGATGTCCTTTGTATTGTAACTTTCGTGAGACATACTAAATAAATTATTATGTCTTCGCCTTAGTCTTCTTAGTCGAGGTCCTCGTCAAATTATTACGTGAGTAAGCCGAAAACATAATAATTTATTTAGTTAGAAATTAGTAATTAAGTGAGAGTCAAAAAAAGTCAAGTCAATATTCTGCAGTTAATAGTCATAACTCAACAGTTAGAATTTTAATACTTGTTAATGGTTAAAATTCATAAGTAAACAGTCAAAAATATTTCAGTTTGACCAATTTACATGTTGTTATGTATTTGTTGCTAATAATAATTCTTAATGAATTGGTCGATTGTTCTAACGACCCTCCCCGGAGTTACAACTTTTTATACTTTGACAAAATCCAAGCACACAATTGGTGCGAGTGCCTCGTTGGCCGAGTTGTCGCAAGTGCGACTGCCGAGCAAAGGGTCTCGGGTTCCATACCCAGGTCGAGCAAAGTATTACTGGGTTTAAAAAAATTCTCAGTAGTAACACGGAGTCTGGAATTGTGCCCGGTATATGACAATAAGCTCACCCCCTATTACATGGGACTCATAACATAAATAGTGAGAAGTGGGTGTTACAATTATTGGTGAAAATCCAGCAATAATTGCTGGACTCTATTATAAATGTAATCTTAATTATTATAATTTTGTCTCTAGGTGTTCAAACTAAAAGGTGCGGACAGGAAACACAAACAGGATCGTGAAAAAGTGATGCGCAGACCGCGCACTGACTTGGAGAAGTACCAGCCCGGGTGTGAAGCTACTGTTCTTACTACGGTCAGTGCTACGTTTTATTAAATGAAAAAAATAATGCCTCGTTGGCCGAGTGGTCGCAAGTGCGACTGCCGGGCAAGGGGTCTCGGGTTCGATTCCCGAAAATCTCAGTAGTAACACGGAGTCTGGAACTGTGCCCGGTATATGAAAATATGCTCACCCCCTATTACATGGGACTCATAACATAAATAGTGAAAAGTGGGTGTTACATTGTGCAGTGACATAATGTGCACCTCTGCCTACCTCTTCGGAGATAAAAGGCGTGATGTTGTGTGTGTGTAAATTAATTAGATTTTTTTGACGGGGTGTCTTCCAATGGTGACTGCACAGTTGGCGCGGTGGCTGTGCAACTGGCTGCCGCGCAACGTGTCGCGGGTTCGATTCCCGCACGGAACAACTCTTTGTGTGATCCACAAATTGTTGTTCCAGGTCTGGTTGTCATGTGTATGTGATATTGTATGTTTGTAACCGCACCCACGACACAGGAGAAAATCCTAGTGTGGGGCAACGTATAAAAATAAATTACTTTTCCCGCCCGGGTGAGGCTAGAGGGAGTGTCAGACTCTTACCGACTAAAAACCACCCCGTTCCTTCTCCTGCACTTCGACCCGGAGCCCCGGTAACCCGTTAAGTCCTCCGCGGCTCCGTACCAGCATCAGCCCTATTGTCCCCATTTGTAGTGGTCTGATGGATCTTGGCCGCACAATCGGGGACATCCAGACCCTGACGATATGCGAAGCTAGTGTTGTTACTACAACACTGAAAATGAGGCCGTTTTGCATATTTACAAAATCTAGGAAATAAGGGAAACCTATTATTAGCCAATCAGTCAATCTCTATAATTCATACTATATACATATAGTTTACGTGAATTACAGAGATTGACTTATTTTTATTTTATTTTAAAATAAAATAAAAATTATAAGTTCATGTTTTGTTGACAGCTGTCAAACGATGCATTAATGCCGCCGCCATCATTGGTCACAACATCGCCGCCATATTCCCCCGAGCTGTGGTAAGTACCTTACGTAAATATTATTTTTCGTTTATTTTCATACATTTATATATTTTTTTAAATATTTGTTAATTATAATATAAAAAGCAATAGCTAACCAGTTACGGGAGGAATCTATGTTACCAGTCGCGGTCTGGGATCCAGAGAGAAGAATTTCCGGACAATACAATTATTAATCAAGATACTCCAATCTACTGAATTTCATTATTGGGTTAATTGAAATATACTACTTACTCCCATGAATTATTCGAAAATAGCTCTAATAGTTTCAAGTCTACGCCTTGGAACGAGTAACTAGCTTCACTTCTAAATTGTTATTGACATTCAAAAGTGCCTTCCAGTGGTCTAATTGAATAAATGATTTTGACTTTTGACTTTGAAAGAAACAAATAAAATCACTTTACTTATGTAAGCATAAAAAATACACGGTAGTTAGCGTGCCTCGAAGTGTAGGAGTAGGAACGGGGTGGTTTTTAGTCAGTAATTGTCTGACACTCCCTCCCGCCTCATCCGGGCGGGAGAAGCCAATCGATGATTTTCCCCCCTTAAAAAAAAAAACAATTTGTATGTTTATAAACGTATAACATAAGTTTTTTTCTTCAAGCAGTTTTACCCACTATTGCCTGAAATGGCCAACAATTCAGGTTGTACATTTTAACGTGAAAGGCTGCGATCAGACGAATTTTGACGCTAAAGAAGCACTTATTAAATAAATATCATAATTATTGTAGAGCTATCGGTTTCTACTCACCCCCATATGACAAAGCATGACGTCATGACAAGCGTGGAATTTAAATGATAGTCACACAGAATTTAGAGCAATAAATATTAATTGATGTCATGTGAGACAATTGATGGCAACACTATTGAATTGAATGAGTTAACCTGATGCGGGCAACACTTACTACATCTATATTATCTGTGTTTTATTATTATTGTTATACAAGACTTGTTAGTTATGCAATTTATTACTCGAGAATGGTGACTCAGTTCCTGAATTTACCTCTCAAATAGCATTTTTTTTTAATCTTTATTTACTTCTTTATATTGAGGTATTGGGGTTTTTATCCATTAAGGATATGCCAACCCCATCGTACCTTATTCTAAAGTGAACACATGACTTAAATTACAATTTCACAATAGGTACTTATATATATCTATGTAGGTACTTTAACTCGTCGAGTACCGGTTTTGCAGACACAATTATAGAACAATAGGTTGCGGTCACCGGTGACCGCTTGGTATTTGACAGTTTAATTACATTAATTGAACACATTAAGAATAGCTAAATGATTAATTAAAAATCGCGGGTTATTCACTTGAAAATACTGAGAAAAGCTCAATTAGTTTCGAACCACAGAGGGCTTCATGAGGAGCATGAGGGTCGCGGCGATTTTTAGTTAATTTAGTACGTCTCATAACAGTTATTATTAAAACAGAACTAAATGATTCAAACTAGTTTAGGAAATTAACGTGATTAAAACAAATAAACTTACTCACTTAATATCCTGTGACCCCTAGATGGGGCAGAGGGCATCCACTGAAGTTCTCCATCGCGAATTGGGTACTTGCTTGTCAAAAACAGTTTTCTATACATAGAAAACTCGTAGTCGAGAACCTAACGGGTTGCCGGGGCTCCGGCTCAAAGCGCAGGAGAAGGAACGGGGTGGTTTTTAGTCAGTAAGAGTCTGACACCCCGCCTCACCCAGGCGGGACCAGTCATTCGATGATTTTCCTCCCTTAAAAAAAAGAAAAAAAAATACATAGAAAACTGTCGTTTTTGATAGTTCGAAAAAAGTATTAAAGACTCGTTGGCAAGTACCCAATTATTATATTTTTCGGCTTACTCACGTAATTATTTGACGAGGAACTCGACTAGTTTTATGCCATGCTAGAGGCTCATATTCATGAGCAGCATTCCGCGACCGGCGACATGGCGACTGTCGCACTGCTACTGACATAATAAATAATTATAGTCTCACGAAAGTTTGTTTACGAAAGTAAATGTTAGTTTATGTTTACGTAAATATTTTTGAACTTTGTTTGTTATCATATTACGGTTTTACCTTGAATTTAACAATATCTGAAGTGGTTTTGTTATCTAAGTATGTATTGTGTCTATCTATATATCTATGCATGTATGTATTGTGTCTGTCCTTAACACAAATACTGTTATATATAATTTATTTTAGTACAATTCTTTTCCTTATCCAATACTTAAGGCATAATAGGGTAGTAGGCAGTGTATGAAAATTAAATATGTAATTAGTCCATCAGTTAGGAAAGGGTTACATGGAAAAAATATTAGATATTTTTTTTTTATTTTGTCCTAAGAAAACAATAGGTACTTAGATAAAACTGAGCTAAGTTTAGGAATATGAGGTCGTGACGTCACGCTGCCCTATAAGTCGTGACGTCACACGATATTTCAAATCAATATATCGTTGAAAGTATTTAATTTTGTAAATAAAGAAAAATAATACGTGTCTAAGTATGGAAGAATTGTCAAATATTTATTCAAAGTTATTCCTCTAACTCTAATATTTAACTGGTGTTAGAATAATACTTTTGAACCTTGTAATAATTGATAGTAAAAAGTACCTCGTTCGTATTGACTTCCTGGTCAAACACAATGCACGAATGAGAAGCTATATTCTCTACAGTTTTCTGGAATAAACCAAGTAATAAAAATGGCTCCTCGCGATGATAAATAAACTTCAAATTGAAATAATTACGTTTAATTTCAATTTAACACCTAGTCATGCGTATTACGTGTCTGTCATACCAGTATTAATTGGTTTTTAACTGATTTATGAATGATTCATACATAAATTTGTTACATACAAAGATTCTTTTGAATTTTAGAACAAAGTATGATAAATTAAGATCAATTTGAAACATTATCGCGTAATTTTATGTAGCAATCTATACAATAGGAGCATGTATTAACATACGTTACCTAAGTATTTGCTAACAATATTAACTATTTCCGCCATGAACGAAAAACTAGGTAACAGTTTTAAAAACGTAAATATAGAAACACAGATTAAAAATACGCTAATTTAGTGATGGGACCTAACAAAAACCGGTAATAGCAAAAAATCTAAAAAAAAAACGTATCGATAACGCAACCGCACTAGAGTTATATAAATAACTCTTTCCATTCCGTGTTCGTTGCACGTTAATTCAATGCTAAGCCCTATTAGGTATAATTAATGTCATTTTATCCAGCAATTGTTCCCTTGACGTCTTAACGACGTGTTTTAGTACTAACAATTACTTAAGCGAAGAAACGTGTATGTAGTTTTATTAACGTAGCGTGTTGCAATTCCCTGTGTACGGCAAAGCAAGATGCACGTGTCACCACCTCTCCTCTTTCCGCGGGTGTTGTTAGAGCCGACTAACAGCCTAAATTAATAACCAATCTTAATTCAAAATGACTGCACGTTTGTCGCGGTGACTGGACAACTGGCTGGCAACGTGTCGCGGGCTGGATTCCCGCACGGAACAACTCTTTGTTTGATCCACAGATTGTTGTTCCGGGTCTAGGTGTCATGTGTATGTGAACTTGTTTGTTTGTAAACGAAACCCACGACACAGGAGAAAATCCTAGTGTAGGGCAACGTTTTTTTTTTAACAATTACTGGATCATTCGCATTTTTTGACACAGAAACTCTATACAAGTATGTAATATCGAAAATCAATTTGAGGGCTTAGTACGAGTTTGTTTTACTTTCAAAGTAATCGAAACGATTAAGCGTTCATCTCCGATTAACTGGCTCCCATGAACCAACCAATCAGAGCGCCGAACAGTCTCATTTCGATTACTTTCAACGTAAAACTCCTAATAAGGCATCTGAATCTAATGATTTTGGGTTGCGATACGTTATTGATTTCGGCCGAAAAGGATTGAATAATGTTGAACAGAGATAAGGCATCAGTGTTCTTTAATAAACCTGATGCTTGTCTTCAACCAACCTGCCATCCACTTACCAAGCGTGGAGATTATACCAAATCCTTATTTAGTAGAGGATGCCCATTATCCAGCACTGGACTCTTATTAGCTGGTGATAGTGATGATGAATTTAATTAATTACTAGTCACTTCTGCGCGGTTTCACCCGCTTTGCTCGCCCACTATTGATCGCAGCGGAATGTTATAGCCTATAGTTATGTTAGAAGTGTTAGATAGTAGAAGGCAGATTGTGAAGTATATATAGTCTTCCTCGATAAATCCACTATCTAAATTAATAAAATAATTGTTCAAATTGGAGCAGAAGTTCCGGAGATAAGCGCGTTCAAACAAACATATTCTTCAGCTTTATAAAATGTAGCCTATTACAATTTGCCAAAGTGACGGCAGGGTGGAATAAATTTGTCACCGTTATTTTTCTCGCTGGTGTCATAGGCCGATCAAGGAACTAAATTAGACAGAGATCAATCATTAGCGCTGTCTGACCTTTGCAAACTACTACGATTTGCAAACGTGGCTAATATAGCAAACCCCTCTTTTGTAGAGAATGTTCATATTCTAGCAGTGGACTGTAATGGGCTGTTGATATGGTGATGACAAATTACTGGCGACCCAACGTGCAAGTATGTTTATTAACGTAGCGTGTTGCAATTACAAGTCGTTTTATTGGATAATATTATGTTTGTGTTATGCAATGAATACTTGCAACCGGTTTGTGTTTATTATTTGGCTTGTTATAGTTGTTGTAGACATTTTCCTGTTGTTGTACAAACGAATTGATGTTTGTTTCCGAAGATAATACCAAATATTTCTTTTTGAAATTCTACTGCTTCGTTATTATTTTGTGTTTGCGATATTTGAAAGTGGGAAGAGACTAAAGAATTGGAGTTTTAGAAAACTTTTGCTAAACTAAACTCAAAACTGACTGCCTCATTGGCCGAGTGGTCGCAAGTGCGACTGCCGGGCAAGGGGTCTCGGGTTCGATTCCCGGGTCGGGCAAAGTATTACTGTGTTTTTCTCAGTGGTAG